CTGCTTTCAGTGCGGTGAAATATTTTCAAAGTTATCACTCAGACCCCCTTTTAAATAACTTTTATTAAAGTTTTACTTTGATTGTATTTGAATGTTAGCTGTTTTAAAACTTTTTATTGTTTATTCAAAATAATTATTAAGAAACAGAAGGATCTCATTACCATAATACAAATATTTGTCACAAAGTTGGGACAGTCGAGTTTCTGTGAATTTCGTTATTTGGAAGTTATAAATTCATAACATTTTTATTTCTTATCTCATTTCAAGTACCAAGTAATAGCTAATCGTACAATTCAGACCGCCAATTACCCTAGATTTCCATTGAATTGATAGATAAGTGAGCTATGATGGCATAAGTAAGTATTGTATTCTTCTAGTTCTTCACAGGTTCAAACCCTTCAAATAAAAAACAATGTAGGTTAATAATTCAAAAATATCATAAATACTCACCGGCACACAAACTTCAGAACCAACGTCAGTAATGTTAACATTTCTTAATCTCAAATCTTCCGTGTAAGCATCTAGCACTACGCAGAGCTCGTAATTACCATTTTTTCCATAATAATGCTCCACTATTGTTGATAGTTGCGGAAACCATAATCTGATTATGTTGTACCTAAAATCGAAATTCTCTATAAAGCTAATGACAAAAACCTGACTCCTCTGAAACGTTGGTAATAAGAATGAAAAGATAATACTTAAATCAGAGTTAAAAATACTATCGCATTCATCTATGTATGAGATATATCGTCGGATATGTAATCTACAATCTTTTCGTACATTATTTTAAATATTCGAGCACAACTTAATACAATAATGATTGTAATTATTTAATATTCGATATTTCGTTCATAGGTACTAGTCCAATTTGTGCCATGTCATCCTATGTTCGTCCCATCATCCTTTAATATTACATATTCTATTACTATCTAACCTTAAGGTATATCTACAACATCAAAGCCCAGTCTAACGGCCGTGAGTGTACAAAGAGACTCGCTATAAATAATTAAATAGGATGTGTACTTACATTGCCATAATAAGGAAGTTTAAAAGAGAGAATAGAATCAATATAGAAACCAATGGCCTTTTGAAAATCGGCTTAATGTTGTGTAATCCTACTAAAAGTCGATTTGACAGTGTCGTTTTGATTTCAATCTGTTCTGTTGATTTTTGCTTGTCTTTCCACAAGTTAGCATACTGAAAAGAAAATATGTAATGAATTATTTGCTAATACGTTTTGGTGTTTCTAAAACTTCCTTGATTGTTTGGATTTTTTTATTTGGCGTGATACTTTCATTTTATTGCTGTCTTCAAGAAGAATCGATTGAATTAAATGTAAAAAAGATGATTCCCATACTGCCGTCCACTAACTAAAACCATAGATCTAAAACGCGGTTAAGAGATACGTGGTCAAATATCCGTTTTAAATAGCAAAAGGTAGAGCACTAATTTCTCGTTTAAAAACAGTTAAAATTAATTGACGTGTTCGAATTCTCGCAACTTACCCTTACGATGGATAGCTGAAATATAGTTAAACAATTTCAGTATTCTAAAACTGGGTTATGGTTTTTAAAAAAAAATCTCAATAGAATATTTTGTAATTTGTTTTCTTTTTGTCTTTGTCACACAGCCGCGTTTTAGACAGCGGAGGGCAGAATACTACCTCGGTATTATATATTAATATGCCTTGCATTATCAATAAAAGAGTTGAAATTAAGTTCATGTTAGTTTCATATCATTGATAACGAAACTACACATTGGAGAAAGTTCAATAAATTCTTCGAAAACATTTATCCAATTGTAGTGGATTATGACCTTGACCCTGTATATAGACCCTTATACATTAGTAGCACAGGTAATAAGTAGTTTGTGTAAGGGTCAATGATAAAACTTTAGGAACAACCAAATTCATATTTTGCTTTATGACGATATTTCATGTATTGACTCGTTGCCTAACTCCTTAATTTTCAACTCTCCAATAAGTTAAAACTTCATTTTGTTCTAAAATGAAAATTTCCTTCTTCAAACTTGGACGTCTAATTACAAAACTTAAATAATAGCTATATTCTTTACAAAGGTGCCTTCGTAATCATACGTTGTTCGTTTAAAGTGGTTAACCTGATTACGATCCGTAAATTTTAGCCTTGCTGATTTGTTTGTTTTAACTGACTGACTGCTGTTTGGTAGAACATGAAAACGTAGACAATTCACATTTTGTTTTTGATTTTGGTCAGGTTACGAATTACAGAATAAGTATAATTTATTTGGGGTGTTTGATGATCATTGTTAATAATATGGGAATGTATGAAAATGTTATTCGTAACCAATCAAGTGCCTAGAAGACTTTATTGCAATACGCTTGAATGTTTAATAATGAAAACGGCTGTAAATGTACTTTTACTTCCAAGTTCCCTTTCAAAAGATTTCGTGCATTTCACGATGTAATTCGTGCATTTCGCGACTTAATTCTTAATACTAAATAAATTTTCCAAATATATTTAAAATTCCAAAAAAATATTCTGTCATTTCTTACTTCAAAAGTTTCCACGAGATTTCCAGTATTTGTTAGGTATACTTTTATGAGCGTTTCCCGGGCTTCATCCAATCTATTTTGTGCCACTAAATACTTCGGACTTTCCGGTTGAAAGCTGTATAGAACACAGGCCATGAAGGAAAACAGCGAAATTATAAGAAGATAGACATTCCACGTGTTCAGAACTGGAAGGAAAATAAAAAATAAATTACATTAACAATGAAGCGGGGTATCCCAGTCGAAGGACTGTTGCTTCTTAATTGAGAGATCGATTATTCGAATCCCTGTGACATTTACCAATCCATATATACATATATCAATGTTCACTAGTAATACTTCTGCGTAACGGTGAAAGCAGACATCGTGATCACAACCCTTAGAACGTGGGAAGTCCGCAACTTGCACTAGGGCAGTGCGGCGGATCTCTTATCCCGTATTTAGATGAGACCTCCCCAACAATAGGACGAATAACGTTTTGACGATGATAGTCTTGTACAATAATGACCTTGTATTATAATGACGTCTAAATAAACATCAGGAAAGGAGTAGTTATGTCCTATACTAAAAATCTATTTAGGAATCGCAGGAATCTTTTATCATTCTTTTACACATTGGTTCAAATACTTAACGAATATAGATAGTGTCCAAATTATCTGATTACTCAAACTACCCAATAACTACGTAACTCTTCTAAAATAAGTCAATGTACAAACTGAAAACAAATGAACAAGTGCATCGATAATTCATAAACATAAGCTTGATTTTCTTCAGTTGTGATGTTTTTTATGAATATTATATGAAGTCGAAAATAAAAAAAGCCGCGCACCTGGCGGTAAGCGACACGCCTATCCATGTAAATTATTTAGAGCTTTAAATTACAAAGATCTAAGGGCTATTGTTACTGGATTCGTTACCCTCATACACAATTTTCATATTACAATGTTTCACAAAGAGCTCTACTCTTACTAATTGTTTTTTTAGCACTCGAAATGTACAGTCAAATTTTATCATAAACATATTAACGCTCACTGTCATAAACTACATTTTATAAGAGTTAAGGTATTATACTCGTAACAAAAAGGAAAATTTGCCGTATTTGCTATCATATTTAGCAGATATATGGGCTGTTATATGCAAAGTTCTTTTTAGCGCGTTCAATACAAAGATTATATACCAGCCGCTTTAAATAACATACTTTGGCGGACCTCAATAAAGGCTAGGAGAATGCCAATTACCTATTTGATTATGAATGAATGAATTGATAAATGACTGTATGAAATATTCGTTATTGCACGTTAAAAGTTACTCCAACAAAAGATAATATTAATATAAGTATTACTCAGTATACAACAGATGGCCTCATCGCTACGTAGCAATTTCATTCAGGAAATTTAGGAAATATTTCCTAATAAAAGTATTTCAAATTAATGCACTGCATATATTGAATACCAAAACTACATAAATAAGTTTACAAAAATATTTATTTATGAACTTTTGTGGGAAAAACACAGGAAAATAATAACAATAAAGAAGAAATAGGGGAAAAAGACCAAACTTAGGGAGTTTTAGGAAGTGTGCTTTGACGCATTGTTTGTAGGAATCAATAGGAGGGGATCGTCGAGTAAGTTCAGGGAGGAAATTTCACAATGGAATAGTAGGCACTGTTATATGTGAGGATATCAAAAGTGCGAAAGGGACCGCAGTGAAGAAAAGTGAAACTCAATTAGTATTGAGATTAACATACTAACATATTAACAATAACTCTGCAAAACCGTAAGCAAACTTTATACAAAATTTATATTAAAATTCAATGGTCTCATTATTACTGTAGTGGCTGCACTTCGTAATTATCTACAGTGCATTAGGTCCTTACTCACAGCAAAATAAAGAACATCACCTGCATAGAACGCATCACTGAAACCTAATATCAGGTTCCTTCAATCTGTTAAATGTATGTTTTTCTGTGGTATAATGACAAGACGACTTTCTGGGAGATAGTGGATGGATGTTTACAACACTCGAGGAGCTGTATGCGTCGCCAGCCTTTGAGTTGATCAAGGTTTGTTGTACCGTCTGTCAGTTTGGGATTGCCGACAACACGGACAGCGCAACATTGGATGGAGTCAAGCGAATCTAGCAGGACATGCGAGCAGCACATGAGGTCGTACCTGCTCTTTATGTAATAAAACTCGATGATTTGGCGTGAAATACTGCTTAGCCTTATTGAGGAGTCGAAGCGTTTTACTGGCCAATTTGGCTTTGCTTTTTAAATGACTTCAGAATTGGCCATCTTAACAGGGTGTCTCCTAAATTGTACTACAAAATTTTCTTCTATATTTCGAAATACGCTACAATACTCACCAATATGCCCATCAAAAACTGCAACTCTCCAATCTTGTATAAGAACGGCCCATGTAATAAGAGATAGAACAATCTGACCTACGGACTTATAAGCAGATTGGAACAACATTACGCGGTCTCTTATGTCTTTGTGACAAAATTCAGCCGTCAAAGTTGTACAGGCACTGTGTGCTGATGCAAACCTGGAATGGAAAGATAAAAAGTTTTATGAATATGATGTTCCAAAACTAAAACATTTCTGAATTGATGTGGGGTTCAAATTTTGGTACAGAAAACCACTGCACTGTAGGTAAAAAATATTACATAGATATAAAACAAGTTATAGATAAATGTATATAGTATAAAAAATTAAATTTAGTAATTTGTGAAGGATAGTAAATTGTAAAAGAGTTGGTATAGGGAATTGCAGCTACCAAATCTATTTCTGCCGCCAAGCAGTATAGCAAAAAAATAATGCATTGTACTTTTGAAGGGCAATAAAGCTGGTGGGTGACGGGCACAGTGCCAGATAATAAGATTTAAAGCTCTGAGTGGATTAAGATTTAAAGCAATTGTTAGCAATAGATGTGTCGCTTACCACCAGGTGCACGATTTTTTCTAGATATCATAAAAAAATATTTGCACACTTTTCATTTGTTTTCAGTTTACACATTAATCACTTTTGAATGGATTGTGTAGCTATAAGCTAATTAGAGAGTTTAGCTAATTCTGACGCTGACTACTTTCATAGACTATTTGAAACAGTGTGTGAAAGATAAAAGATTCGTGCGTTACTTTAAATAGATTTTTAGTAGCAATAGACTTCTTTGTGAAAGAGTTAGTCTAGGGAAGTACCTTATCATTTTCTGTCACCAAGCAGAAAACTGAGCATTACTGCTTTCAGGTTAACTGTGCACATGACACTTGCCAACTTTATGTCTCAAGGTGGTCAGATCTTTGTGCTTGAAAGCTCTGAGTTGCACTGCAGCAGTATGCGTGTTGATTACCTACCACTGCAGCAGTATGCGTGTCGATTTGTTCGTCCCAACACTTCATATCTTAAAAAATGGTTCTTAGTACAAGATAGAACGACGTCTTTCCAGATACTTAATTTAATTATAATTACTTCTAACAATAATATTAAGGAGAGGGCTTCAATATTTTATTTGTCAAGCCATTATTCGTTGGATGCGGATCTCCTCTAATATGTCACTGAACATGATTATCAAAGAAATATACAGGATCATATCTCCCACAGGAGAAAACAGCGAATATGAAACATCTTCCGTTACAATCTTGACGTACATATTTCGCTTCATCCACTCGCATCTGTCTTTTCGGACACGCCCATTTATTCTTTATACTTTCACAAGAAAAAATGAGATATTTTATCAGAGGTGTATTCTTGGGTTCATGTTAAAAGTATTAGGAGAAACCCCTAAAAAATTTTTTTTTCTAAAAAAACTGATCTAAGAAAAAGTGACAGACGTTTATTTATTTTTTTGTTTATTTTCAGATACATCTGTAAATAAAATGTCAAATTTTGTGGAAATCTCATTGAAGATTAAGAAAAATTAGATCAAAAAGTACAAGAATAAACTTTTGTCAAAAAGAAAGTCGTCGGCGTACATGGAATTCAGAGAAAGCTTTGGAAGGAAAAGAAAATAAAGTCCATTTGTTTAGGCCCTTAACTAAATGTAAACAATCTTGATACATCTTTTTATTGAAACTGTACTTTGCAAATCAAAAGGTATAAAAATAGGCACGCAATTTCATATGAAGCTAAATATTTGTATTTTGTATATTTGAAGCTAAGTAAAAATCATTTTGTAAATGTAATTAAATAGACATCTCAAAATTGTTGACATTTAGTCAAGCACCTAAACAAATCGACTGCAGTTGTATTACAATACATAAATACGTGTTAATTAAAAACTATTTTCGTGAAATTACTCCAATAATTTGTTACAATTATTAATACCAAGATCGAAGACTAAGAAAAACTCCTTCAATTCGCTTGGATTCGAACCAACGTCTTCCAGTAAACCGTGTCAGACGCTATGCCCACTAAGCCACGGAACGAACTAGCTGACTTTACGAATTTTTCTAAGTGCTTGTTGCAGATCTGTATTTTTGGTTTTTAAATATTCCTAATATTTGTTCAATAATAACTACAGCAGTTTCAGCCATAAGCGCTCAACATCGTCAGCAACCAATTATTATTCTATTATTCCCTTTTCCGAGCAAGGGTTAAGTTACCTTTAAGGTCCTCTCCGCCAATGGTGAATAAAAACACAAGTCGAAGATTATTAATAATATATATCTCGACCGTAACGTTCGTTTGTTTTGTATTGTGTAGATAAATGAAGATATTTAAAGATTCACAACCCTAGAAATACGCGTTCCCAAGCCGCATTGGGCCAGTAATAGTGGACTACGGGCTATTAGAGATTGATAATTGCCAATATTCAGCTTCTGTATGTATTTTATAGAGTTATATTATTATTATTAGTATTTTGTTACTCATAGCACAAAATTTGATAACAAAGCTTTGCTATTGCATATGGTATGCGCGTTCGGTAGAATGCTGAATTTGACGTTATGACTCACGGAGCCAAGATGTGGACACACACGATTCGGCTAGTCCACCAGTAAATTAAGTCTAAAGAGAAATGGAACGAGTTATGCTCGGAGTTTCTCTAAAGGTGCCTATATTGTCCATCGATATTAAGGATCTATAGTGTCGAGGAAATTTGTAGGCACCTTAAAGGTTAAGATTCGACAAAAAAACAAGATCGTCGACATAGCTAGTAGAATGAGTTATCTGTCGAAGAACCGATAACCTTTAGGGGAGACGAGTTCTTAAATGAAGTCCACGATTCGGTAATCATAGTGTAGGACGCCCTCTGGCCGGATGGATTGATGATCTGCGACAAGCTAAGAACCGAGCGAAATGGCGCACATTAAGAGAGGCCTATGTCCAGCAGTGGACTGTAATAGGCTCATGATACGTCATGCATTTCATAAAGAAACTATAATAATAACAATAATAATGATAACTAGGGAAACCCTGTGCCGCGGGTGGACACGCAGATAGACAACCTCAAATTACACCAAACTCACCAGAGAAATAAATCTAGGTCATACAAGTATTTCTCCCAGCCCGAGAATCGAACACGGGACCTTTATATGGTAAACCAGCATGGTAACCGTTCGCCTACGGAAGCAGTTAGAATTTATATTTTAAATAAATTATATTTTGAAGATATTTTACACCTGAAATCGATATTACTAAACATAGCTGGTTATTTCGAAGCAGATTATGAATGCAATACACAAAGGGCATATTTTTCGTGAAAACTATTTTTAACAAGGGAAGACTAGTGATTATACTAAAGAAATGAAAATATCATTTCGGTTCTAAATCGCGTGTATTTGCTTTTTTGCCAATATTTCGGTCGGTTTACAGGTCCCATGGACACGGTCGACTGATGTTTAAAATCATGTTTCATAATACGAACACATGAGTTGCTAAATAATTACAAACATCCTTCAAAGATATATTTCATAACACAAATACGCAATTTAAACACAGGTATAAGAAATATACAAATTATTACACAAATTATTATCTTATCACGTTTACATAAAGTGATAGGAAAGTTTACAGTTGATCCCATTTCCTTGCTTCTGTTTGCAGAAATGAAGTAACCAATGAAATGCGACGCATTCGGTGAGTCAATAACAATGACGTCAATCAAAATACAATTGTTGGGAAACTGCCCCGTTATGCTTGTTGCCTGGTGCTAAATACATGACAAAACTCTATTGCAGATAAAAAAACAATTTAAAAGTCGTCCCACATTAATGGGACACAGTGGGAACAATCTCTCAGTGACATCATTATTAAAATCCACTTTGGGACGTAGACCTCTCCTGTAAATGGTTGTACCTAACTTTGAGGGTTCCCTACGACAAGAACATAAATAAATAATTAATTAGATACTCGTAACAAATAGACACATATAAAGGGCATCTCACGGCTATGGGACTCGGAGGGTAGTACCTACTTTGAATATTGTAGATAAGACATTTGGCCTCATGGAGATATTATTTTGTTTTTAAATGTAAGTAATACTGTATTCAAAGTATCTTAGTCTTACCTTATCTAGGCATAGAATGTGGAAGAAAAGGTACTTTTGTGGCACCAAGTGACGGAATGAACAAGTCGTGTGCCTGGTCATAAGCCACGCCTATCCATAGCAGTTACTTATAAGGAACTAAACCTTATAATTGACCCTTTCGATTCACATTGTAAAAATACAAGAATTTTTTGGCGATGTTATTGTGACTTATAAATTTATGCGTAAAATTTTTGATATTAATTTTAAAAAACCATGAAAACACGCACCCCTGTTGTACTTATTACAACTTAATAAATATTACGGCTTAATTGGAACATATTAACTATTCAGGAGAAACGTTTTCAAGATTCTACGAAAATAATTTACATATAACTTTGTTGTTATTCTTAAATGGAAGGGTTATAAAATTTCACTTAGAGTAATTTGATTCAGGAAGTTCGTATTGTTTTTATGATTTTCATGCGATAAAAGCACTTTTGACGTATTATCAGGGGGTCTACTCTCGATTTCCGTCCGACATCCGTCCTAAACAATTACTGCCAAATAAGCAATACTTAACCAAATGAAAAGACGCGTGATGCGAATGAAGCTTCATTCTTGATACTTGTCTTTTAATTTTGTCGAAAATTACTTATTTGACAGTAATTGCTTCGGACGGATGTTAGACGGAGATCAAGAGTAGACCCCCAGATGTGGCTTTAATATACCAAGGGTACGGAGATAGTGAATGTTCCACTTACAATACTCCTTCGAAGAATTTGCTGAACATCAACATTTCGAAAGTCTGACTGAAGGCTGATATCACAGTAAAGAAAAAAATGCCAGCATAACCACAGACAATGAATTTCTTGCGACCAAAAGTATCGGTTAAGAATCCTGCTACTACCGACGAGAGCAGCATTCCTGGAAGCGAAAGAAAATTATAAAAACTTTCATACAAAGGCTACGAGTGACCCTCAGACGGCCACTGGGTGTACTCTGTGGGCACAGAAAAATCCTCCCACCACTAGTTTTCATCATCACTCAAGAGCAACTAGTACCAGATTACTGCGGTTGCCCGTGTGGAAGTCCTTGAATCGACTTCGCACTCAGGTAGGTCGCTGCAGAGACAAGATGTGTAAATGGGGGTTCAGAAGTGCCTGTCTAAGCCAATGTGACTGCGGTGCTCCAACACAATCCATGCAGCACTTGTTGTTGTGCCCCTTGTGCTCTAATACCTGTACGAGGGAAGATTTCTACACAAACGATTGTTGTGTCAAAGTGGAAACATTCTATTCAAAATCAATGTAGGCTTGAAATAAAAGAAGGATCTACAAGATAAGAACATATAATATAATATCAAAAACTTAACAATTAATTAATTATAATATACTATAGGATGGTGGGCCATACCGAAACACTTAAAACGTGAAAAAAAATATGTAAAATTTTTTTTGTGGGTATAGTCATTCGTGATAGCTCATTAAGTAAATAAGTCAGCCAATCTACAATGTATTGGCATATTCGAAACTCGAGAATGTTACTTTCAGTCTTGGGAATATCGAGACTAATGAGACTTACGTAACTTAATTAAGCAGTGTTATAAAACTAGTAAAACAACAGCCATTTTTAACTGACTTCAAAAAAATGACTCCGACATAATTTTGTGAACCGGTGTCGATGATTCTTCTTTTGTTGGACAAGGGATAGTAGTATCATTCAAATTTGAGATAATATTTCACCTCTAAGGGTTGGAAAATGGGGGATGAATCTGGTTTATTGAATTACATCCACTTTCGGCTAACCGATTTCAATGTAACTTGGCAAATAGACGTATTCCACACACTTTTGAGGTCTTTTATTTTAAAGTTATAATTTTTATTTTGGTTACATGGACAAGGCAACACTGGAGAGTGGAGCTTAATAAAATCTATGGAGATTGAAGGACGATAGTAATAACATCAGGTCCTCTTTATCTGAAACTATAATAAACGAATTTTGTTTCATACCTACTTACCCAATACAAAAATTAAACAAATTAATATTTTTTTTTTTTCATAATTTAAGTTAATACAAAACTTGATTAAAATGTTATGTTTTAGCTACTTATAAGTATGAGGGAGATGAGATGAGGTTTCATTTTTCCCGAGATTTTCGAAACTGCATCAAGTTTTTTTTTCCCGGAAATTCAGCGAGATTGAAAGTGATAAGACTTTCAATCTCGTAATCTTGGAGCGTGTAACCGTTCCGAAATTTCAGGAAAATAATAAGAAACCTTTAACTAGTGATAAAATATTTTGGTAGAAATAGGTAAACGCAATAAACTTACCAACGAAAGGAACGGCATTAATGATACCCTTCTGCAATAAATCCATATTCAAATCGCATTCTGCGTTCGGTAAAATGTAGGGCGTCGTGTTGGTAATAAATGTCCCTCCTAACATGGCGAAGAACGAGCTTATAAGCAATTTTATGTGGAACCAACCGAAGGCACATACTTTTAAAGCTGCGTTTATTTCTTGCATTGGCGTTGCTAGATACGTGGCATCTTTATCTGGAAAACATATAGATCCGTATATCGATCTCTACCGCCTATGTCCATGGGCCGTTCGTTCTTACGTGGATATTGGAAAGACCACTTACTATGATTCCTGATACTCCTTTTTGACAATATCGATGGGTCTGGTACTTTACACACATTTTTCGCCATGACAACCCAGATCGTTATTAACAGTACTCTAGATCTGGCCTTTTTCAGGTCGTCCACAATTTAGCCGTAATTCAAACGCTTCAAACATTGACTTACAATTATATGGACGTCGGGTCCGCGCTAAAAAGTGTCCGAACCTATAGGGCGTTAAAATCGTATACAGAGCGTCATTCACACTTTAGTCTTCGTTTGTTCGACTGACAGCGAAGCAATCAAAATTAGACAGTACTGCGATGACATTACAACTTAAATTCAACGTTTTAGCTTTTTCATATTCCTTTACATGTCACTACGTTTAAATAGGTTGACTTGGGACATTTTTTTCGTGGTTTGTGTATTAGTCCCGTCGTCCATTTATTTGTAAGTCAATGGCTTGAAATCATGAATAGCTGATTACAAGCATTAGTGCTGGTGGAATTTCAGGCACATGGGACTTTTCAACTTATGTCTCAGGATGACGGACGGGCGCAGTTTCAGTGACCCTCAGATCTTTGTGATTTAAAGCACTGAGTGGCCTTGCTATTGTTATGGATAGGCGTGTTTCTTAATGAAATAAATTAAATGTAATTAAATAAATTAAATGTGTATACGATCTAGTATTTTTTTTGTATCGATTCATTTTAAAGCGATTTTCAAACAAATCGATTCAATATTATGACGAATCGAATCGTCTAGATCATATTCATAAATTCAATAAAACAGTCTCTTTCTGAACTTCTACTGAATCATAAGGCTAATCTTATTTTATGTCCGTCTGCAAGAAAAGTAGTTTGGCAATATCTAAGTACAATATATCTACGATACTAGCTAATATAACTCTAAATGAAAGCCATAACGGACTGAGACCGAGAAGATTGTCAAAATATTTTATTTTTTAGAGATGAAATGATTCTTTTCCTGATTTGAGATCAATTCAAAACCATATGATCCGATTTGTGGATAGATTCAGAGGCATATGATCCAATATGTTCCAAAAAATCGATTCAAAGCAAAAATTCGTGCACTCCAAATCACCACACAAACTGGAAAAAGAGCTGATGATCTTTAAACAGCGGAACAGTTGTTCATCAAACATAACTAAGAACAATTTCGATTAAATTACCCAGTTAGTACAACCGCTAGGAGCTAAAGTATAAAGTGAACATGTAGTCGAGTATAGTACACGTTGCCGTATAAGTTTCCCGCTCTCTTAAAGGCCCGGTTTGTAGTGCTCGTGTAAAACGGAAGGCGGCGAAGAATTTCATTCCTCAGTTGTTCGCATAATGAACGTGGAATCGATTCACTTCGTGAGAATTGTGGGAATGTGACCTTAAATGGTGAAAATCCTTAGCTGCGTTTGAACCAGGTTGAACGGACGGAATCAAATCACGCATTAAATACCCCCGTGGTAAATGCAAAAGTCGTTTCAGTTGTCTCAGTTATGTTTTTGAGCACGACAACACCTATATATTCCGGCTAGCTGGATATGTCATTAAAGATTATATAAATTCATGATCCTACATTACTTTCGTCTTCTTGTCTACGGGTCAGCACAACAAGTATTTTTCTTCCACTCTCCCCTATCAGCCTTTATTATACAGCAGCTTTTATTATAAGACAGCATTCGAAAGAGAATTGTTGAATATAATTATGTTAAATTTTTTAGACACGAATTGCTTTTATTCAAAGGATGTTTTTTATAATATCAAGTGACGGCACGAACAAGTCGTGCGTATGGTGGTAAGTAACACGCCTATCCATGACAGTAGCAGTAGAGCTTCTTGTGAACGAGTTCGTCCAAGGAAGTACTGCCGCCTTATCTATTTCTGTCTCCACGCAGCTACCCCTTGCAATACTTGTTACAAATCTAAAAACTTATAGATGCGACTCGCATTTACTTAAAGGTTTTTCAATAATTAATTGAGATTTGACCTCACTATTGTAATATGTCAAAACTGTGACAAAATGATGGCCATAGCGTGTCGGTACTGTAGTGCTTTATGACAAGTAACGTATAATTTAGGCCTAAGATTTAAATGTGACAATTGAAGTAATTGTATTTTTATGATATCAAAGAAAAACATTCCTGAAACGTTCGTCATTAGTTACTTAAATGGAGATGTTGTGATGTGCTTAGTTATTTAGATACATCGTTTTTTTTGTAATATTATATGAGCTTTAAATCGCATAGATCGGAAAGGCACTTCCACTCCGCCCGTCACTCTGAGACATACATTTTATTAGCATATTTTATTAGCAGTAGAGTTCCTTGTGAAAGAGTTCGTCCAGGGAAGTACTGCCATCTTACCTACTTCTGCCGCCAAGCAGTAATGTCAGCAATACTGTGTTCCGGTTTTGAAGGGTAAGGGGTGCTGGTGAAATTACAGGCACATGGGACTTGTCAACTTATGCCGGTGACGGGCGCAGTGGCAGTGGGCCTCAGATCTTTGCGATTTAAAGAGCTGAGTGACACTGCAACTGTTATGGACATGCGTGTAGCTTACCATCAGGCGCACGACTTGTTTGTCCCGTCACTTGATATTATTTAAAAAAAAAGTTAAAAGCACCCATTAAAAATGTAGAAGAGAATAGATCCTAGGCAAATTGTTAGTCTCTGAATTACTTTAAATGAAACTATTTTCCGGAAATATATCGCTTAGGTATATTTTTTTTTAATAAACCTAAGTTTCGGACTGTTTAAAAGGTCCCACGATCTCTGCTGGCAGATGATCTAGATCCCAAAAAAAAAAAACAGTTTCAATTCCATTGTGTAACAATCGCCAAAACCTGCTCGATACAAAATATCGTGCTAACCATTTGATTTCAAAAAATCAAAGGTTTTAACCGGGTTTTAACTCATTTTTGCCCAAAACCGTGGACAGAAACGGCGAATACGTAATTTGGTACGTATTAGAAATTTCAATGTAAAAAATCTTATTTATTATTGATATTTTTTTGTGGAATAATTCCACGAGTTTGCTATGATCACTAACACAATTTTATTTCTTTTCTTCGACCCGATGGGACTTGAACCCATGACCACGCCTGTACCGTAGCATTGCTCTGTACCAGCTGAGACAGGTCAAGTTATTAAGTATATATATATATATATATAAGTGTTGACGAAATTCTCCTATGTGTTTTTGTTATAAATATTTGTACTAGTTTTCGTCTGTCGGCGCCGTATGTGACATCTTGTGAGAGATTTTAGAAATCGTCTCACCGATTTTTTTGTGTTAGATTGTATGTATGTGTATTAAAAATCATAAAAAATCTTTTTAGTCGAAAAAGAGGCAACTCCACACAATACTCATCCTACAATCCTGTGAACTCTCACTTACTACTAGGGATGCACACATCGAGTATATAACCAGAAATAAAGACGGATGGATGTGCCATCCATCCCTGGTAACTCATCAAGCAAATGGGCCTTAAATAACTTTTAAATATCAACTCTCGTTTGCACTGAAATCGCAAATTAGAAAGCTGAAAATGTACCAACAACCAGTGCGCCAACAACTAACCTGTGTGTACGTCTCCGTATATTCCAAAAATATTCTATATTTATTGTAATAAAGATAATATCTCTAACTATGGTGGGCAGTTTCATTTGGTGATATGGGAAAACATCAAAACATCTCTAATTACAAAACAAACGGAATCATATTCCATCGGTACTTAATTAAATAATTAATTTTTCAATTTTCGTCCATTATAGCAAAGCTTAAGTTAAACTGTTCGATTTAAAGTGAAACATTTGACGACAACCGTCAATTGCTTCGAATTCGGGCTGGCTGATTGGAGTGCAGTTGTCACTGTAATGATTTGGAAGAATAGTTTTCAAACAAATTAAATGACATTTTGTCTCTATTTCTGGTTATATACTCGATGGAAGCACATTACGGTTTGATTTTTATGAAAAATCGATTAAAAAATATACTACAATGAGTTTTTATATCGATTCGTTTCAATGCGACTTTCAAGCGAATCGATACAATAAAAAGGCAAAATATGTAAGCAAGCAACAAACATTTTGTAATAATATCATATACATTTAACAAAACTCGAGTTAGAAATATTTAGTTGTAAATAGTTTCTGTCCTCGATTACGGGCGTTAGTAGGTTTTAACCCAATTAAAATCCCGCGTGCTTGCCCATCTGTGATCCTGCTATATAATAACATGCATAATATTGTACAAACCTGCTTCAATTGAAATAGACATAACTATGTATTATTTTCTATTTTATTTTTCTACTACGATTATCTTGTATAACATTGCACAACAGGTAAATATACTTTGCATAGTTATAAACGTATTACATGTAAAGCACATCACTGCAGCACGCAACGTTCATAACGACTGAGATTTGTTTGCCAAGATCATGGTAAAAATAATCGGTAAGGCCAGTCTCACACTGTACCATTAGCAAGTGATGCTACTACAACATAACTTAGGTAGTAGATTTCTACAAAAAAAAAATGTCGTATTATGACACTGTGGTCAAAATCTGTACTATGCACTTTTATATTTATTTAACTCAGCAAAACAAATTTAAAGTGCATTTTTTTACATTCTCTGTGATGAGATTTTTGTGATTAAAGTCATGAAACAAAAATTGTTGTTTATGGTGTTGGTAAAATAAGATCGAAATCATCTTTATGATGTTCTTGATGATTGACTTACGCAGTATCCAGAGCCGTAAACCGCACAACCGCTGACTTGAAATTGCTACTTGAGCACCACGGCACAAATTTATTTTATGATGATTTGTTTTTTTATTCCAATTTTCTTTACGTATTAGTTGAACTATTAATAGCGTTAGGGCTCCTTGTGAAAGGAGTTTGTCCACGGAAGTACTCACGGAAGAAAAGAAAACAACGTAATTGCCTTTGGCCACGATTACTATCAGAACCGATGTCGCCAAAACGCATACGTTCTTAATTTGAAACTACAAAATTCAGCTCTCCAAACTTGTGCAGGCGACAACCAAATTCACTTTCACGTTCGATTAAAAGGTGTTGTGAAAACTTTTGCGTACAGGATGTGTTTATTTTAATAACATCAAGTGACGGGACGAACAAGTCGTGCGCCTGATGGTAAGTTACACGCCTGTCCATAACAGTTACACTGCAAATCAGAGCTTTAAATTACACCATTACCTTTCAAAACCGGAACACAGTAATGCTGACATTCGTGATTGGTGGCAATACTATCCTGGACGAACTCTTACACAAGGAGCTCTACTGCTACTAGAATTGGAGTTATTAATTTAGTTCTCCAAACAAGAAGCGACCATACAGCAGGGGTATAAGCTTTACTTTCGTTTCGTGCAAAAAAAAAATTTCGATTAACAGAAAATTGAAAATTTATTAAAATAACTTTCCAATGATATGAAATACCACCTTGGTAAATATTTTTGGTGCGGTTATCATTTTCACACTCCAAAACGGCACACTAAGGCTTTTTTTGGGATTTTAGAGAAATTGCATGACACAACCACACCACACAAAGCGAAAATGGCGAACTGAGCTGAGATAGATCTTTCAAGACTTATAGTTGGCACGCGTCAGACGTTACTGATCTTACCTATTTGCTGCCAACGACGTTTCGGGTCCTTTACAGATCCCATGGTCACGGTTGACTGAGGTGGTACAGTCTTCAACCAGTTATGTCTAATATTAATGCAAACCACCCTATTTTTTTATTATAGTCATTAATTAAATACCTTATTTTTAATTTTCGAAACATTCCAATTTACGCTACATTAAGTTTTACAAATTATTTTACTGAATAAATTTTTATTATGTTCAATTTATTATTAATTAATAATAGAAATTAGAATAAACTAAAACATTATAATTAGTACTGCAGTCTTATGTCTGTTTAGGATTTTTCATCAGAGGAAATACTGGATTCCAAACTGGTGGTACGGAGAAACCATCTTCCCTGTTGAAATTAGGATTTTTTTAAAATTTCAATGGCCCCTCGCAGCATCCTGGGTAGATAACGGACTTCTTTTGCAAGGACCTGGGGTTTGTCAAACTTCATTGAATGTGTAGGTTTATCCATGACATGCTCGCAGACTGCAGACTTGTTTAAAGCGATTTAAATCCGGAAAAATAGTTTCATTTCCTAAAATTATGATTTCCATTTTTCTTCTATGTTTTACGTACCAACTGAAATAAACTATTATTATTATAGGAAATGAAACTATTTTTCCGGATTTAAATCGCGTATATTTGTTTTTTCAAACAAACCGACGTTTCGGGCCCTTTACAGGTCCCATGGTCACGGTTGACTATGGTATGGTATGGTATGGTCACGGTTGACTATGGTATGGGACCTGTAAAGGGCCCGCAACGTCGGTTTGTTTGAAAAAGCAAATATACGCGATTTAAATCCGGAAAAATAGTTTCATTTCCTATGTCTAACAATCACGAAAACCTAAGAATTCGATATTATTATTATTATTATTTTGGGTGTCCTTTTTTGATTCTCCCCTCTCCCAATTTCCTCGGCAAAGATCAAAGACTCAGGTTTAAAAACCATCAAACGATCAGAACGTGCCGCATCCAGCAACACTGCTTTATGTTTGGATTAACCCGCTGCTTGGATTAACCCTTTTCCTGACAATGCAATTGAAATTACTACAATTGTTACTGTATTTGTCGATTTGTATTTTCATTGTCGATGATGCACAATCGAGCGTTTCCTACACGAGTTACAGCGATGCCACACGAGCGTTGCGACTTCTCAACGGTATGATTTCGACGCACTATGTGCTACACGAGCAATACGTTGTTACAACGTTACGCCGCTTACTTATGCACACCACAGTGACTCTTCCCATTTTATCTCTTGGCTCCTTGGCCGATCGATGGGTACATATTTTGTTGCCGCGCGCAATATCGACGCATCATGTGACACGTATTTCTAATTTATAATAATATGTGGTACAACGCAGCGTCACCGCTCAGGCCTCGCAACGCCGACGCAGTATGAAACAGACCTAAGTGATGGTGTCAACTGTCAACATGCCCCAGTTTTTTTTCTGTTTTTTTAAATGTTGCGTAGTGGATGAGTAATCTAATGTCAACAAAGTCAACGTTTTCTCTAATTAAGGAACACTATAGATAATAAAATCTGTACGGACTTGAGACGCGTGGATATATACTAGTTTTAGATTCAACCAAAAGTGACTATTAAATTCAGTATGACAAGGTAATTTTTAATAAAGAGTGCACACACCTACTTTATGTAATAGACGGTCTTAAGTCAGATTGTTCACTTTTAGTTCTCTAAGAATCCGCTAGATGGCATTGACCCATTTGGCGTTATTTCTGAATCGCGGTGTTAAGATTTTCCCTCAAATGGTGACTACTCGAACCCAATTTTGTTAATATGGAAGAGAAAGCTGAGAATACAGAGTGCTCAGTAAGGCAGCCAGGAGTTGAGTCCCTTCTTGGGAACTCCTACCTGGGTCTTCTGACATTTCGTACGCTCATATAGGGTGAAAAACCTCATCTCGCGGAACGGTTTCCAGGAGTCGAGTCCTTACTGGGAACAACTGCCCGAACCTTCCGCATATAGGGTGAAATTGTATTGGCGACATAGAAGGTGAAAATAAAAATCTTCTGAACAATTGGAGTTTCACTAGGCTTGTTTTGGTAACGTCATCCAACGGAAGAGAGAACCACATTCCCTTACAGTGCATATATTTTTGGTTATTTTAACCCTTCCAATTATTTTGATGATTACTGTGCAGTTAATTGAAAGACGATACAATTATTACTTAAAATTTTATTTACACAAAATACAATACTATAACACGAATTCATCATTAGTACGATCCACTTCTGTTGTGCATTAACAGTATCGAAGAGTAACTTTTTGTACTATTTATTTCGGATAATTCTTGTTCTTTCTTGCCATAATTTTTGCTGTCCTTGGGCAGGAAAATTGCAAGTATGGTTAAACCTGGAGAACAAAACAAGGCAAAAATAAGCATGTAGTAACTTGTCCAACTTTATTAAAATGTCGTTGTGTCAACGGTAATAATATCTTCCTATTTTGTTGTACCAGATATTTTAAAAGAATATAAATATTTCTTGCAAGAAAATACCATTGCACAATATACGTCCACACAAACGATAGACTACACCACATTATTTCAAAAAAGTGTACTACGCAATACCTACGATGGATAAATCGTTTATTAGTGTCTACAGACACAAATGCATAAAACAGAAAAATATGTAATATAATAAAAAAGGAAAATAACAGCAAAGTCGTAGCACTGTCTGACGCCCAGTTATATATAGTACGTATATAGTACGCCCAGTTGTATATAGTACGTGTGTAGCAGTGCAAAAATACCATAGTTCAGCGTCGGTGTTTACTCAGGAACCAACCGCTGATTTTTTACTATAACCTAGGGTGCCTCGGATACGATAACTAACTAGCTGAAGCCATTTACATGTTGTATAAATTAAACAAGTAACAATTTCGAAACTAAATAAATACGAAAGGTACATTACAAAACAATACAATACAAAATTATTTATTTTTTCCTCACAAAGCTACAGGACGTACATATATTAACAATAGGGTACTTAGATTAGTTATATTTGTCGGAGACTGGATCCTAAACTAGGTCTAGCCTGTTTGATAGGTCTACAGGCACCTCGCGTGTAGTACAACACATCAAGTGGATAATGGATAGACAAGAGAGACCACATTATATTATATTAACCTTAGGACCAAGTCCAAACTCTTGTTACCACGACTTCGTTCAACCAAGGCTAATGACTCGTTTATGGGGAACTGTATACATTTTTACAATATGATTCCGGAGCATATGTTAAGATTATTATTTCTTGAGTTTAAAAAGTAGGTACATTAAAAATTTAATTCAAAAGTCATATTACAAAATTGAATTCTATGTGTCAGACAAAGATGCATGGAAAGACGACATGGCTCCAGGTTCCACTCAAATTAGATTCAAAGTCAATTCCATAGCATTTAAGTTTTCAAAAGTAATGTTTTCACAAGTGTAAATTTACTCTACCTAAGTTATAACTTGGATCTTTTCAAGGCGAGAGTGAATAGGCATTATTTATATGTGCTCACTACAGCCCCCAGTGAATCCATACCGAAGTCCGGGTCCACCATAGCTTGGCCCGGACGCCCGCTGTATCCTGGTCTTGCCATCGAGCCCATAGTTTCTCCGGAATACCCTACCTCTCGGATCGGTAAATACGGACTTACGACAACAATGATATTGTAGGTTTTAGAAGCAGTAGAGTAGAAATTACATGGGCCTTGTCAACTTATGTCTCAGTGTGACGGGCGCAGTTGCTTCAGATCAGTCTTTGTAATTTAAAGCACTAAATGGTACTGCAACTGTAATGGACTGGCGTGCCACTTCTGATCTCATAAAAAAAGCACCATCATTAGGATTGACAGTTTGATTTCCCATGATTTAGTTTAAATCTTTATGTGAGGCGCAATGAGTAAATTCAAACAAACTTATGGATATGCAGGGATTTCCACATCAGACACCGCGCTTGTATGTTTCATTATAAAATATACTTACAGATCATCAACCCTGCCAAGGTATAGAATGGTACAATGCACCCAATATCTAGAAGTATAGGGAACATAACATTTGCTACCATTGATCCGATACGACCAGTCGTCAGTATTAATGACATTGTCAGTGTTCTGAAACACAACATCAATCAAAATATTCAGTCTACAATAAAAATGCAGTAAAGGTTTAAAAGAAACTATATATTTTTTAAAACTTCAGGTAAAGTCATAAATTGCCAATAACACAAGACAAAACTTATTGCTGTGGGCCTGTCTGGTTCTGCTCTGCCACACAACATTTTCAGTACTATTGTTCTCTAGTATACTTAAAAATAATTTCTTTTGAAATTACAATACGTTCTATAATCGAATCTACTTTTATTTAACTATCATTTGCCAGTTTATTCAATGCTACAAAATCATAATCGTGATTAAAGATCACGAATTGGTTCGAAACATGTCGAGCAAAAATTCGACTTAAATACGTGAGTTATGCGTTATTTCAGTTAATATTAAATTACGATAAATGAATTTTATTTGTACACCACTAAGGCGATTTTAAAATAAAATATAACTCAGTTTTTAAACAATGAACATATGAATCGTCATTTTATTTACCTTGTAGCAGTTGGAAATATTTCAATAGCAGTAGCCTGCAAAAGGCTTATAATGATTTGACTAATTGCCATATCAGCAGCAAATAATCCTACGACTTCAGTCCTTGAACTTGACCACCTCAACCATAAAGTAGCGGCTATGCTCAGTAAACCAGCTGATATAACCAAAAACTTCTTTCCAACTTTCCTTACCAGGATCCCGCTCAAAATGTATGGCATTATGGCAACACAACCCAAAATCATACTGTTTACATAGGTGTCCGTACCACTGCGAGTCTGAACAAACAAGATAAATTAATGAACTGAATGATTTCTTACTTGTTACAGGTTTCTTATCACGGTATCACATCTTTTTATTTATATCTGACCGGTTACACGCTCCAAGTCAAACCCAAGTCATTGAATCAACCCGTGATCTTGGAGCATGTAAGCGTGTAACCGATATTTCGGAACGGTTACACGCTTCAAGATAACCAGTTGACTAACCCGTCAATGAGTCAACCCCTAACCTTAGATAGATGATTAGAAGCCACACCGTGGTAACAAACGTGTACGGTATAGTATGACGTAACAGGCTAGTGTCCGCAACTCGACTGTTTAAAATCACGACACAAAATTTCATATGAACCAGCATCATTTCTTGACTTTACTTAAAAGTTCTCCGAGGAAATTAACTTTGACTTAACCTAACGTACCTTTTTTTTTTGACGGGGGGGAAATCTTTATGGATACCCCTGAGCCCAGGGAGACTCAGGGGTTATGTGGGGACTCTCCCTCCACACTGGAAGGTCTACCCCACTAAAACCCCCCCGGGTTTCCCTCTCGCCGGTTGAGTCGGCGCCGTGGGATCAGTGAACATTCACCACGACGCCGCCCGGCCGCCCTAGCTTACGCCAGGGCTCCCGCGCCAACGGAGGGGCGAGTCGGTTGTCCTCCGACCCAGACGAGTGAGGCCGTGCAATGCAGGCTCCGGAGTACCTGTCCAGAGCCCGCTGGTCTCACTAGGGGATCAGGCGAGCAGCGAACTGCCTTCGCCTTCTCCCCGTACGTCTGCGCCGGACGCGGACGAGGACGCGGCGGACGCGCACCCGCTCCGCGGCCTCCTTTTGCGACATAACCTCTGCGCAAAAGGAGGCCACCGCCTCCCAGGACTCCTCGCTATCGAGCATGGCGGCAACCACGCTCGGCAGCGAGAGGTCCTGCCCTACAGTCCCCGTCAGAGTGCGGCGCTGCTCATCCCACCGGCTACACACCTCTAGGGTGTGCTGCGCGGTGTCATCCGCAGCGCCGCACTCGTGGCACGACGGGGACGGTTCCCTCCTTGCCACCTTGTGCAGGTAGTGACCGAAGCAGCCATGCCCGGTCAGCACCTGCACAAGGTGGTACGACAGTGGCCCATGGGACCGGTTTACTCACTCTACGAGGACAGGGCGAATCGCCTCTATGGTACGAGCGCCATAGGGGGGATCCGCCAAGCCCTCTTTCCACCGGTCCCGCATGCGTTGCGCCGCGAGGCGGCGCTCCCGCTCCACCTCTTGGGAAGCGGGTCGCTCGCCTCGGTCCCTCATTCCCCGCCGGTAGGTACGGACCTCCGCCAGGACCTCGGCTTCGAGGTCCCACGGCGGAGTACCGGCGAGGACGCATGCGGCAGCGCAGGCCACCGTCCTGTACGCCCTGCACATTCGCAGGGCGACCACCCTCTGGGGCCTCCTCAGCAGCGCCTTCGTCGCCGCTGATATGGCCCCACTCCAAATGGGAGCCCCGTATAAGGCCATACTCCGAGTCACCCCGGCGTATAGCCTTCTGCATGGGGCTCCCGGCCTCCCGAGGAACCTAACGTACATGTGGTTGTGATCATACGCATACAACTTCGACTGTGTTATTTTTCCTCTTTAAGATCTTTGAGTGCAAAGACTGCCTTGATTTTGCTTTTGTTACTAACTTGATATTATTCATGTTGCTTAGATAATGTAAAACTATGAATAATATTTTCCATATTGGTTTTAGTACCAATTGAGTGGCGTAGTTATTTTATAATAATTTATGTAGTTTTCGTCCCACAATTTGCTAATGATTATTTCATATCTGTATGCAGTTTGAAATATTTCAATAGAGTCTCCTCCCGCTTTGTCCAATTGTGTGTTACTTACCGGTACACAAACTTCGTTAACTGTAACATTAACTCCTCTTGTATTTAAATCTTCCGTATATGCGTCTATTATTTCACAAAGATCAGACTTTCCGTCAATTCCAGCGTAATGCTCAACTACAGTTGACAACTGTGGGAACCATAGCCGGATTATGTTGAATCTGAAAGATGCTTTTCATTTCAGGCGGGTTTAAAGATGCTTCTATTTCCCTTTTTCAACATTAATAGTAATGTTAGATAACGTCTAAGAAAGAAGAAGGATGAACGAAATGCATAATAGTAAATCAATAATTAATTTACACCACATAATTGATATAAATATTGCTTTAAATTAAATAATACATTTCCCAATAAATGTTGGACGCATGTTGAACGTAATCACAACCATGAAGAAAGTTTATTAAAAATAGATGATATTGATGCTAAAAACAAGTTTCAATTTCCCGAATCTCATGATAACATTTTTTTTATAATATCAAGTGAAGGGATGAACAAGTCGTGCGCCTGATGGTAAGCTACACTTGTCCATAATAGTTGCAGTGCCACTTAGAGCTTTAAATCGCAAAGACTTAAGGGGCACCGCCACTGCGCCAGCCACTGAGACATAAGTTGATAAATCCCATGTGCCTGTAATTTCACCAACACCCTTACCCTTCACAACCGGAACACAATAATGCTGACATTGCTGCTTGGCAGCAGACGTAGGTAAGGTGACAGTACTTCCCTGGACGAACTCTTTCACAAGGAGCTCTACTGCCCTTAATGGTCCAAAAATTAACTTACATTTCCAAACAATACATTTTTTTATAGTTACAATTATTATTAGTTACAAAGACCAAACGCAAAGAAAAATTCTTTACATTTCACAGGCTGCAAGCAAACCTGCATCTGTTTGCCTAGAGCAATTGCTCTACCAACTGAGCTACAGTTCGAGTCAGCAGACCTTACAAATTCACCTGATTGAGTGAAGAAAAACTTTCATAGATTTCTCACAGATGGCGCTACGGCTACAGGTTCGAGTCCTGTCAGCAGAGCTAAGGAAGTTTTGTATTAATAATTTTAACAAACTTCCTTTTTCTTGTATTAAGTAGGCAGCAAATAAGCATACGGCGCCTGATCAAAGCGGTCACCATCGCCTAAGAACACCTGCAACACCAGAGACATTACGAGCGTGTTGCCAACCCTTTACGACCCTTTTCAAACCTCTTTTGAAGGATTCCATGCTGTGTAGGAACACGGGGAAACCCCGACAGGGAGTTTATTACACTACCTAATTGTACGTAGGAGGAAACTCCTCTGAAACCGCACAGTACGAGATCGACGCGGTTCCAGAGTGTGAGGATAGGAGACTCCATCCTCACACACTCTGGAATCGAGTATTAATTTCACAGAAATAATTATATCATGATAGTAAAACAACGTCATATCCAATATTTTCTATAGTTTCAGAAACAGATAGTCTAGAACATCAAACTACGAAATACCCGGCTCTCCTATCTTGTGATGACTTGAATACTTACAGAGTCATGATGAGGTAATTCATAACACAAATGAGTATCAAATAGGAGGACAATGGTTTCCTGAACATCGGCTTGATGTTATGCAGTCCATTGACAAGTTGTGAAGTAAACGTAGATTTTGGTGTAAATTCTGGTGCCACGTTAGCTGTATATATTTTGTCTTGCCATATGTTTGCGTGCTGAAAGAAATAAATCCAATAAAGCCTTGCTTTGAATTTTGAAGTTGAAAAAGAAGTACAGGTTTAATAAAAAATTGTGCGATTTATGAAAACGGCTTGTTAAAATTAAACTGTAAAGCATTGTAAGGAAATCAGGTCAGTAGTTTGTGTATACCTCTGCTAGGTAATAACGCGGTAAAACAAACTCAAAATATATAATTATGTATAAAAATATTGCTTCGTTTATTTAGTCGCAACAGAAAAAAAGAAAATTAGATTATAATAGGAGTAAGACGTCCACGAGGAAGACCACCTGCTCGGACCATATCATCGGGGTGACCGGAAGAATGTGGATGAAATTCGCACAGGACCCATATACCCAGTGGGTGTTAACAGGCTGAGATGAATGAATGATAATTCAAATTACAGAAAAGTGAGTATTATACGGGTGAATGTCGCAACGTCGCGGCATATTTGGGGTAAGTTTTTTTATAACATCAAGTGACGGGACGAACAAGTCGTGCGCCTGATGGTAAGCTAGCTACACGCCTGTCCATAACAGTTACAGTGCCACTAAGAGCTTTAAGTTGCAAAGATCTGAGGGGCACTACCACCGCGTCCGTCACCCTGAGACATAAGTTAACAAGTCCCAGCAAACCCTTAAACCCTTACCCTTCAAAACCGGAATACAGTAAGGCTAACATTACTGTTTGGCGGCAGAAATAGGTAAGGTGACAGTACCAGGTGGCGGAGCTCTACTGCTTCTAAACACATGCAAAATATACAAAATATAATTTTTCAGCGCAATAATGGTTAATCAGTGAAATCGGCGTATGGATTATTGACAATTTTAACAAACATTTAACAATCGATAGTGACATTTTATTGTATATATGTATATTTTTTTAATTTCGTCAATATTATTTATTGCTTGTACAAAATCAAATTGACTAACAATAACCACTTTATTAAAATTGTTGAAAGAGTCAGAATTAATGGAAATATTTCGCACAAGTTTAAAATCTTTGATTCATCTAAATTTAATAGTCAGAAAATAACTGGTAAAAGTTTAAATAATAATCTCAGTACAGAGTACTAAAAAAACCGACCTCAAAAGTAAGTGGAATTACGTCTATTTGCTAAGTTTTATTGAAATATCCCCTAGTTCGTCGCTATACAGGACTTGACACTGGAGATAATAAAAATAGGTTCTCACTACGACACTACTCAAAGTATATTGAGAGAAAAACGCCTTGGATTGGAGAAATAGCAAAATCAGCCATTTAAGTAATTGCTCCTAAATTAAAGTTAGGCGTCATTTATAAAAATGAATCTTCATGCGTGAACAGTCACCTTCGAGGTGGATTTTCTTCAAAATGAAATGGAACCACTATGGAAGTACCCCCTTTGCAACAAAAAAAGAATCATGAAAATCGGTTCACAAATACCGGAGTTATCGCGTAACATACATACAAAAAAAGAACATACAGACGAATTGAGTACCACCTTTGAAGTCGGTTAAAAATAATAACACATCATCAAACAAAATTTACCGAAAATGTCTCTATTGGCTTTCCAGTGTTCATTTTATAAACATTTTTTAGCGTTTCCCTGGCTTCGTTAAATCGATTTTGTGTGACTAAAAACTTTGGGCTTTCGGGAAATAGGCTGTATAATATACAAGTAGTCAAAGAGAATAGCGACATTATGAGTAGATAGTAGTTCCAGGTATGCAGAACTGTAAAAGAAAGGTAACCATGTTAAAAAACAAATATATGACTTTAATAAAAGCCATTACTACACATCGCTAATTATATATATAGTCCTATTCATTAGGTATTTTTTCTCATGAAATAGTTGCTAATATTCATGGGTAGAATGATCTTCTAAAATATCTTGACATACACATAAATTACAATGATTTAAATTTTCACAATTTTCGCAAATTATTTCAATTTCACATTGTAACTTACTTGCGTATAAGCTTATTTTATTTACTTCGACGTTTCGGACGTGTTGCACCAGAGATAGACATGCGCCCAGGTTTTTGTTAACGCCGAGTATAAATCGGTTTAAAACCCATTAACGCTCAAAATCGAGGGCAAAAACTATTTACAACTAATATTTATTGCTTTCTGATCTAGACGACTCGATTTACCTTTCCATTGAATCGGTTCACTTGAAAAGCGCATGGAAATAAATCGATACAAAAATCGTTAGATCGTATGCACTTGAATCGATCTTCATAAACGTAATGTACTAACTTAATAGTGAGAATCCACTGGATTGCAAGGTGGGTATTGTACAAAATTGTCTCTTTTTCGTCTAAAAACATTTTTTTACATCAATATTTGTTATAATGAAATGGGTTTTAACCCACTGCTCATCTCTGGTTGCAACGTCTATGGTCTCGAAGGGACCCAGGTGATGAGTTCCTACGAAACGTTCAGATAAATAAAATATATTTGTCATTAAGTCCCAATTTTCAAATTTTCTATATTATGCATTTATAACATTCATTAGCTGAGTTAGAAGAAAAAACAGATTAAACCAATAACTACGAGTGGTTTGAAAGAAAATTTCAAACACAATGTGGAGTTATGAACTACAAAATAATGGTACAATATGGTACTTGTAAATCAGTCAGATGCGCATTCATAACAATGTACTAACCGATAAATCCACTGAAGTAAGACGTTTCCCAGTCTTGTGTAAGAATAAGCCAGGACAATGCAGCCAAAATGACTTGTGACAAAGCCATAAATGATGATTGGAATAACAACACTCTATCTCTGACGTCACTATGGCAATATTCAGACGTAAGTATCACGCAAGGACTAAGAGCTGTTGCAAACCTGTAATCAATGCAATTCCTTTATTTATTGTTTCCAATACCTTAAATATTTACCGCAACAATAGCATATTTAAGACGATGTAAATGAAAAAGAGTGTAAGGTCGAGGACGTTGCCCTGAGATATACCGAATCAGAATTTTTCGTATTAGATTCAAAATGAATATAATGTATATATATTCAAAGTAGCTTCTAAGTTTATTTAAACGTGGTTGATATTTACAATAATATGTTATTATGAATAAAAAATTAAGTTTGATTAATCTTGTTTAGCAATGTAAAACATGACATTTTTAATGGAACTTCCGTTCTGAACATGGCGGTACTGTAATGACAAAAATTCTCAAGGCCAATCGTTCCACCAACAAATTCATCGTACTCTTTTACATTTTGATTAATTAACCCAATGTTTTATTAACATTTGTACCTATCTTAAACATCTGCGTTCTTAGTTTCATACTATCAAAATAGTCATAAAATTACGTAGAATTTATTTTAAAGTACACAATTGAAGTCCCACAGCTAAATATTTGACCGAAATAATATTTAGTTATTGGTATTGGCATCACGTAAATTATTTTTTAATGCAGTTGCTCAAAACGTGGTATTTTTCGTACTACAAATAGTGCCGAAAGTTGGATTATTCGCACTAGTGCATTTTACTATTCCATTTTTTTTTAAATTTACTGTTGTTTCAAGTCTTAAACATAGAACTAAAGAGGTTGTATATTTATTTAATATTTATGTGCTTTGTCATTCGTCATTATAACTTATATTTACTTACAAACATCTTATTTGTTTAAATTCCATAGGTGTTTTATAAAACAGCGGGTTACATTTAAAAATACCAAAATATTTTCCATAAAGATGGCTGATTGAGTATTAACAATGATCGGGGGTGAGTATTACGCGAGACCGTTGCGCGCCGCGCCATTAAAATAGTAATTTTAATATGGCTGAATACTGGCAACAGTTGCCATTGTACTCTGAATTTTTATCAGACAAAGAAATAAAATGATTTTTTTTTGCATACAGGTTTATTTTACTTTCAATGTAGTTTTTTCGCAAATGTATTAAAAAACGTCGTTTGATACACGTGCGGATTTGTCATTTTCCCATGCCTCGAGTCTTGAACCTCGCCTCTGGCTCGGGCCAAGAAGCCTCGAGACTCGGGAATAATGACTAACTTTCCGCACTTGTATCAAAAATAACTATTATCATACGCGAATGAAAATTCTCCAAATAAAAACAGTTACTTACAAAAGTCCTTCGAAAAATTTGCTGATTATTAACATCTCATACGTCTGACTGAAGGCTGATATCACATTAAAAAAGAAAATTCCAGCATGTCCACCGACTACAAATATTTTACGGCCAAACGCATCTGTTAGAAACCCAGCTATAACAGATGATATTAACATTCCTGAAAAGGAGTTATGAAATCTAGAGTAAGTTTGCTGAAGATGCCTTTACGAATAAGCAGAAAATATTTAACCCAAACTCGAGTAATCGTAGAGGGACCTCCCTCTGGAGTCCTTGAATAATTTTATTTTATTTATAGTATACGGTATACATATATTACACTTTGTATGTAGTATATTTTGACGAAACGGAAACACAAGAACATTCTTTTTTTTAATCGACTTCAAAAAAAAGAGGAGGTTCCCAATTCGACTCAGGCGAGTTGTAAACCGATATTAATGATTCTTTTTTTATAATTATTAATACAAAGACCGAACACTCAGAAAAAATTCCTTCGATCCGATCGGATTCGAACCGACGTCTTCTTGCATACCGTGTCAGACGCTATACCAACTAATAGATGGCGCTACGAAAAAGCCGTTGAAAAACCAAACACGACGCAAGCACATAGAAAAATTCGTGAGGTCCGTTGGTTCGTTCCGTGGCTTAGTTGGTATAGCATCTTGCACGGTATGCAAGAAGACGTCGGTTCGAATTCGACTGGATCGAAGGAATTTTTTCTCAGTGTTCGGTCTTTGTATTAATAATTATAACAAACTAGTGGAGTAATTTATTATATATGAATAATTTCAAGTGTAATGGTAGAAAATTAGGGGATAAATCAAGTTTATTGGATATCAACCACTTTCCGTTAATCGTTTTCAATAAAACTTGGCAAATATATGTAATTCCACTAACTTGTGAAGTTGGTTCTTTTTTATAAAAAAAAGTACAATTATTGCGTTTTCTTTTTAAGCCATCCGACAAGTATTACTCTAATGGTTATTATTTATAGTTTGAATAAATACGCTCTGCATATACCAATGTCTGGTCATAATTAAATATTGTACAGTCAACACGGCTTTAAACTCCAGTTTTAACTTCAACTCCTTGCCACTTATTATGAAAGCACTTCAAAGATGATGTTCAATATACCAGTTTAAACTATGAAACATTTCTAATAAGATCGAAAACGATGTTAAACTCGTCAAGTTTGATTCAAACGGTAAAGAAGATGCTTCACAATGATCTTATTGATAATATTCTAATTGTAGTCAATTTGCCGTGAGCATTTCTTGGTCCTAACTCGCTAAGGCAGCTGACATAGGTATGGTAAAAGAGGCCATATTTCACTTACCTATGAAAGGAGCTGCGTTAAGAATACCCTTTTGTAATAAATTCATATTTAGGTCGCATTCTGCGTTTGGTAAAATGTATGGCGTAGTACTAGTAACAAAGACGCCACAGGAATATGCAAATAATGATGCGAACAGAAGCTTTTTTTGAAACCAGCCAAAGCCGCATTCCTTTAATGCTGAATTTATTTCATGCATTGGCGTCGCAAAATTTGCCGTGATTTGATCGTGGTCTGTAAAAAAAAGAACCTTCATCATAGTAACTTAAATATGCAAATGAAAATAATAAACAATAACTATTAAAATTTTCAGATCAATTTTATTATTGCCTGAGAAAGCATCGAAGTCGAAACATTGAAACTGACCAAGACGATTGCGTCATATTTTCTTTTCTTATGTAAAGTAAGAGGTGAACAAGTTGATGAGCCACTTGATGGGAGGTGGGTCATCTGTGCTTAAGGTAAGTTATAACATTACTTGATAGGAGACTGGAAGGAGAGATATCTCATTACGCTGTCAGAGCACCTCCCTCCTGGGCATAATCTACCTTGGCGCCTTGGAAGTCTCTAAATAGACTGCGGACCCAAGTTCGGCCGAAGCAAGAAGAGCATGCACAGGTCAGGGTGTACCTCTAAAAGCGTATGTATTTAAGGTGTCTTGTCAACTTATGTCTCAGGGTGACAAGCGCAGTGGCAGTGCCTCTCAGATCTTTGCGATTTAAAGCTCTGAGTGGCATTATAACTGTTATTAACAGATGTATCGCTTGCCACCAGGTACACAACTTGTTCGTCCCATCTATTGGTATCATAAAAAATGTACAACCTCTTGTACTATATAGTAATTTGTACAGTTACCCGCGATATATAAACTTAGGAGAAGAACAGGGAGTGTGACCAAAGAACATGTCTATTGCCACGTTGAGACAACAGACGCTGATTCGAGTCTAACCGGATCGAAGGAATTTTCCTTCATGTTTGTTCGATCTTTGTTTCAATAATGATAATAAACCAGTGGAATATTTTCACCATGATATTCAATAATAACATTACATTGTCTCTCCCTAGACTATGGCACATCTTTTGTCTTGTCCTGCGCGTGCCTACACCTGCACACGCGAGGACCTTGTACAACGCCACTGATAATGCTGTGTCAGTTGCAGAGTACTGGTCATCATAAATACAAACATCAGAGACGCGCGAAAAAGATAACTTGATAGGCTTGATATTTCTCTTACAAGTTTTTATCTAATGTATACAAGTAATAATCGATTACTATACTTACGTGATTCAGCTAAAACTGTTTTGTTATTAACTATTACTCCGTTCATTTTAATTTTTGTATTCACTAAACAAAAAACCACAGATGTCTTTACATTTACAAAGTAACGAATGAACTGCTGTAAATGTAAATATATACTTCTTCTTCACATATACAATCTTTTTGGGCCAAATTATGTAAACAACGTGTGTGACGTGTCTAATGATATATTGCATTAATTTTAATGAATCTATCAATTAACGTGTTCTCAGTATTCAAGTTATAATAAATTAATATATAATTGCAGTATGTATATAGACTGGGTTATTTTAAAAGTAGTAACTATCTTGCAGGACTACATTGCTAACATTACCATCCATTTTTGTAGCAGTAGAGCTCCTTGTGAAAGAATTCGTCCAGGGCCACCAGAGCATAACTGCATTCCGGTTTTGAAGGGTAAGCATGCTGGTGAAATTACAGGCATATGGGACTAATAATAACAATAATGTATTTCTTATCTTCCACATTGAAACTGAAATATAAGTATATAAAATACAGTGTATCATATTTACCGTAGAAGGCTAGGTAAATCCTGTGTTATGAAACACCTGGTCTCAATTTGCGGATCAAATTTGAATTCAGGAAACACAACAAAAACTCTGTGATAAAGTTGAAACTGTTACAAAGATAGATAGAGTTAACATAATAAACAAAGAAAATAGCAAAATACAGCCAATCTTAAAAATGGCAAATGGTGATGTGGAAAGATGCGTGATGTACGAGGGTCATGCCAAAAACAATTAGATTTTCAAAAATTATGAAATTTATTCTTTATTACAGGTATCGATTTTTTCAAAGTATTCACCATGAACACGTATACACTTTTCCATTCGTCTAAACTTACTTGGAAAAAATATCTATGACCATTCTTCTTTAGACATCTCAGAAATCTCCAAGTTATAAGCAGCCAAGGCATCTTCTTTGCTTTCAAACCGCTCGCCTTTTAATTTTTCTTAAATTTTTGGAAAGAGGTACACAAGGACAAGGTCAGCTAGGCTAGGTCAGAGGATATCTTGCCTCACCCGCCATATGGCGGGTGAGCCAGGATAGATAAATTTTTTGAATGAAAATAGTCGAATGTTCTAGCAGAAATGTGCGGAACAGGACAACGCCGCTGTTGTTGATGCCAGAGGAGGTACCGAATTCCTGAGTTCGGTCGCTTGTCACACCAAGCTGACAACACTTTTGGGGCACAAACTTATATACCATTCGGAGTTAACTGTCCTTTGATCCTCTAGTACTGCAGTGGCAATGTGTCCCGTTATGCAGAAAAATGAGGCGACCATTGTTTCTGTGTGCTTCGTGTACGACGACATTTCGTTAGCGTCGGCTCATCTTCAAAGCACCACACAGTGGGCTGTCGCTTTGTTTCAGGATCACAGTTATGTGACCACGTTTTGTCACCTGTCAGTATATCATAAACGTTTTTTTTCTCGCCAGCGTCGAATTTGTCTATCATAAATTTGCACCAATCCACGCGACGTTCTTTCTGCTCATTGTTAAGTTTGTGCGGAACCCATCTCGAACAACGCTTATGGAGAGACAGTTGTCCGTGAATAATAGTTTGTAATGCTACTGATCCAATGCCCAGTTCTTACTCAAGCTCTCTAATGTACTTAGTCGATTTTCACGAATTACTTTTTTCGACAGCTTGAATGTGTTCTCGAGTAACCGCGGTTGGGGGTCGACCTGACTTCACCTCGTCTTCAAAGCTTCCCCGTCCTCTTTTAAATTCAGCAAACCAATTGAAAACTGTAGCTCGTGAACAAGCAGTATCACCAAAAGTTGTGGCTGAAAGTTCAAAACATTCTTGCGGATTTAAATCTTTTTTGTAGTCATAATAAATCATAACACGATAAATAACGTCGAGAGAGCTCCATTGTTGCGAACAAAATTCCCGCCAGATTGTCTGCGAAAAATAATAAAATTGATGAAAAAAAAAATTCGATTGGACACGTGTTCCATTTTCCAATGTATTAGCAAATAACCTGCCTTTACGACGTTATATAACTTGCCAGTACCAAACAAGTGATTAAAGAGTATCTAAGTTCTTTTAGCATGACCCTCGTATGTGCGTGTCTAGTCAACTTAGTGATGGGCGCAATGGTCCCGGAGTGACGGGCGCAATGGCAATACCCCTCAGATCTTCTCATGTAAAGCTCCTAGTGGAACTGGAACTGTTATGGACAGGCGTATCGCTTACCACCAGGCGCACGACTTGTTCGTCCCGTTACTTGGTATTAAAAAAATACAGCAAATTCTTTGTTAAAATAATTGTTTTAAATTTCGCAATAAAGCGTCCTTTCATTTGTTGTAGGCATGGTTTCACCTCATTCTAACCTAAAGGCATATGATAATGTATCCGAGAATGGAACGTCATCGACCAGAAAGTGTGTTTTCACTCTTGAAAAGGCCTATATCTCATCGTAATTAGGTTAAAAATATCAAAATTACTAATAAAGTTACAGAGGGGACGTAATAGAATTCGCTTGTTTTTGCTTCAAGGGCAGACAAGATTTAAATATAGTTCTGATAAATGTTTTCTTCAAGCCGGTTAAAATATTACCTTAAATTTACCTCAACTACTTCAAAAAGATTAAAGTTATTATATAAAATTTATTTCATATACTATATGACGATGAAACCTGCTGGTTCCTGGCCACTTACTTTTTAAATTTTGAATCATTCTCTAATTCTTTTTCTTCGTTATTCTTACTTCGGCCCTTCTGGGGTAAGTTTGTGACGATGCGACCTCCTTCCATTGTCATTCCGTTTTTTTCACCTTTTCTCTGGTTCTTGGCCACTTGTTTAAAATTTTTGAATCGTTATTTAATTCCGTTGTCCGTTATTCTCACTGTGTTTTCAATCCGTCGTCACTCTCTACTCAATCGTTGAAGCGAGCAACGCTGCTCGTCTAATTTCAATCCTTTTACCAGTTCCCAACCTAAATCATGTGCCAATTTTAATACCAATCTAACCTAGTAATATTGTATAACTCGGCCCTTTCGCGGTAAGTCTGTCTCACGTTTTTAGTACTTAAATAGGGAGTGTTTTGTAGCTTTGTAGCTGTTTTTTGTACTCTTTTCTTGTTACAGCCTTCCTTTTTTTCTTTCGACTTATTGAAATAAATTATGTGGACCAGAATATTCTATTTTATTGCCGTGATCCTGGTCACGGCACATTAATGGTTTACAACCTCTAGAAGTTCACTTACGTTTGCCTAATCTGTAAGGAGTGTATTTTATTCTGTACCGTTATTTTGCTTTGTTACAGCCTTTAATTTTCCTTTCTTCGTTTTCCTGTTGTTTACATATTCCTATTTTACAATAAATGATGAGGACTGAGTATTTCATTTGATTACTCAAAAGCGGGAAAAATTAATGGGAAACACATAAACACTTATTTATATTGACTCAATGTTTATTGAAGAGATTTCATCTTTGTAGTTGATCTTATTATTTTTTTTATATTATGTAGGCAGCAAACAAGCATGCGGCCCGCCTGATGGAAAGGGGTTACCGTCGTCTATGAACGCCTGCAACACCAGGGGCGTCATGACCGCGTTGACGACCCTTTAGGACCCTTCTCAAACCCCCTTTGAAGGAATCCATGCTGCATTCCTTCGGGAAAACTCCGACAGGGAGTTCATTCCACAAACTAATTATACGTAGGAGAAAGCTCTTCTGGAACCATACAGTACGAGATCGACTCGGTTTCAGAGTGTGAGGATGGACTCCCTGCCAGTGCGATGATAAAATGTTGCTGTTGGCATCATGTCAAACAGTTCTTCAGAACATTGGCCATTGTACAAGCGATAGAACAGGCATAGAGAGGCAAAGTCTCTTCTCCAAGACAGTGGTTCAATATCGTCTGTAAGCACAGGACTATTAACAATTCTCATAGCACGTCTTTGAACCACGTCAAATGGCCCAACCTGGCATCCAGGAGCTTCCGCCTAAAGATGGTAGCAGTATTCCATGTGGGGACGGACTTGTGACTTATAAAGTAGCAGTCTACCCCCGGTCCCCCCTTGAAGCAATAACCGGATCCACTCCGGTCTCTTTCTCCGGCACGGCGATTACCCCAGGGATTTTTCACGGACTGTCGGTTCAGCCTCTCAGGGCGGAGATTATGTAATCCCTGGGTTCGGGAACCCGTTCAACACACGGGAGGCCAACGGTAAGCTGTTTCACCGGGTCTCCCTGACCGCCCCACCAACATGTCCCTCTCACATATACACAGAGTAGTACGCCCATTAACACAGGTCCCCCTGCTGTCGTTACAGCGCCTCCTCAGGAGTTCTGGAAACCTTACTCACAGGAACACAATGCTACCAAGTAGCGTTATTTAGCTGCAGTCTTCTGTAAGGTGGAGGTACTTCCCCAACGGGCTGCTCCAATTCGAACGGATATAATCCGCTATGCCCTACCTCTCTTAATACAATAAAATAGTGAGTGTCTGTTTTTTGCATGTTTAGTTGGTTCAATTTCCGTTTCAGGTAAGGTTTTTAAGAAATCTGTGAAAGGAGTAATTCATATTGAGTTCTTAGGTTTTTGCTATTGTTACACATAGGAAATCAAACTACTTTTTTGGAACTACATTGCATATATTTGTTTTTTCAGACAAACCAACGTTTCGGGCCCTTTACAGGTCCCGGATCACGGCTGACTGAGATTATAAAAGTCATCAAACTGTTTTTGTCTATAAATCAAACCACAGTATTTCTAACTATAGTTACAAAAGTTATTAATTAAATACCTCATCGTTATTTTTACAAAGAACATTCCAAATTATGCTACAGTTATTCATATTAAGAAAACTAAAATTATGTTTCTTTTAAGAAAATAGCCATCTTAAGCATTTAATTGATTTTTCCACCCATTATATAAGTCTGTGATTAAAATTCTTTTGAACTCGGTACAATTTGTTCTACCAACTAATCAACAAGTCGAAAAGTCATCAGCCGATCTATTCTCGTTTGATTCGACGCTTGTTGACTTCAAAAAGGAGGAGGTAGTCAGTTCGACTATATATTTTTTTGTATGTATGTTACGCGATAACTCCAGCTAATTTGTGAGAAAAAAATTAGTGAACCGATTTTGATGATTCGTTTTGTGTTTTTTTTTTTTTTTAATACATGACAGGCAAATGACTCCACTCCACCTGATGTTAAGTGGAAAGTGGTATCCAAACGCGAAGGAACCTAGTGCAGCGATGAAACCCTCACTGCACTAGCCACCTCCACCCTGCCTGCCTACAATATGCCTCTTCACGCCTCGTTTGAAGGACCCCATATCATAAGAGGGAGGGAAGACATGTGCCGGAAGGGAGTTCCATTTGTCAACCGTGCGGCAGAGAAAGGAGCCACCAAACCTTTTAGTACGCGATGGAATGCGGCAGGTAGTGAAACGGTGACTACGAAGGCCAGCACGCGTGCTTCTAAGCAGGAACGGGGAAGGGGGGATGAGGTTGAACAGCTCTTCAGAGCACTCACCATGGTACATGCGGTAAAAGGCGCTAAGCGATGCAACATCTCTACGCAGTTGCAGAGGTTCAAGGCGTGATGAGACCTCTTCGTCGCCTATAATTCGAGTAGCACGACGCTGTAATTTATCCAAGGCATCGAGTAGGTACTTGGCGGAGCCGTCCCACAAGTGCGAACAATACTCAACGCAAGACCGGACCTGTGTTTTGTACAGCAGGCATAACTGGTCCGGCGTGAAAAAACGTCGCACCTTGTTCAGGACTCCGAGTTTCCGTGAGGCTGTTTTGCTCACAGATTCGATGTAGCTCCTTGGATTCAAATCACAGCAGATTTCCATACCGAGCAAGGTAAAACTGCTCTGAGGTGAGAGTGCTGTGCTCATCAGAGAAGGCATGGGAAGGAACGGCGACAGTTTTGTTGTTAACGCGCAAACCTGTGTTTTCTTGGCGTTGAACTCAACAAGATTTCTAGATCCCCATGCAGAGATGAGGTCCAATATCCTATTGAGCTCACCGACAAGATTAGATCGCTCTCTGTCAGTATCGGCGCGCCCAGCTGCGGGGAATCCGTGATATCCCCCATGAACAGTGCTATCATCTGCATAACAATGAATATTCCCAAGTGGAAGCATATCATTGATATGCAGAAGGAAAAGCGTGGGAGATAGGACGGATCCCTGCGGTACGCCGGCGTTCACATTCACGAACCTCGAAATGCTGCCGTCAGAAACGACGCGAATTCTCCGCTCACGAAGGAAATCGCCAATCCAGCTGCATAACTGGGCTGGCAAACCGTACGCCGGGAGCTTGAAGAGAAGAGCTTTGTGCCAGACCCGATCGAACGCTTTGGCTATATCGAGGCTAACAGCCAACGACTCGCCACGTTTGTCTATAGCCTCACCCCAAATATGCGATAAGTACGCTAGAAGGTCACCCGTTGATCGTTTCGGACGAAACCCATACTGCCGATCATTAATTATGGAGTGATCTTCTAGGTATTGGGTCAGTTGTTTGTTAAGGATCCGCTCTAAAACCTTGCATATTATGGAAGTAATGGCTATGGGACGGTAATTATGCGGGTCTGATCGGTCGCCTTTTTTGGGAACTGGTTGCACATTAGCCTCTCTCCAAGAGTCCAGCACACGACCTGAAGAGAGTGACAGACGATACAGTCGCGTTAGCACGGGGGTCAACTCAGCTGCGCAGCTCCTAAGTATAATCGCTGGGATACCATCAGGACCACTAGCTTTCCGGACGTCGAGAGACTGCAGCTGCGTACGCACATCGCATTGTCTGATACGAATATCAGACATCGTGTAGCCGAGGAGGCCGCGTGTAGTGAGGTAGAGTTGGTGGCTGTGCGTTACAGTCGTCGAGACAGGAGTTAGCCGCAAACAGATTTGCCAAGAGGTCGGCTTTATCTTGCGGCTTGTGGGCTAGATTGCCGTCAGAATATCTCAGCGGGGGCAGCGAGGGCTGGCAGAAGTTCGACGCAACGGCTCGGGCCAGACGCCAGTAACTACGACTACCAGTGGGATGCGTCAGGAGTTCTTGGCCAACTCGTGCGACGCGCTGAGCATCCGCTCTGATGTACGCTCTTTTGCAAGACCTGGTGGCATTATTGTAGGCTGTTTTAAGTGAGTTCGTATTGGGATCGTCTGAAGCTCGACTCTTGATCCAAGCGCGGTATGCAGTCTGTTTGTTCTCAACAGCCACAGCACACTCGCGGTTGAACCAGCGGTTGCGCCTCCCTTTACTGACGACATCCGAATGCGGGATGTAGTATTCCATCCGGATTAAGATCTCATCAGCAACGGCAGTCGCGCTAGCTGTTGGATCCACCTCACTAAAACAGCGCTGCCGCCAAGGAATGGCTGCAAAATAGTCTCGCATACCGTCCCAATCTGCCGACGCATAATGCCAAATGCGGCGTTTAGCCACAGTAGGTGGTGGTGACAGTAACGTTGCCACTTTAGTGAATATCAAGCAGTGATCCGAATTGCCCAGAGGGGCTTGGACCTCCACCCGATATCCAGCCGGGCGAGACGTCAGCAGAAGGTCCAACAAAGAGGGCGCGTCACCAACCCTATCTGGTATCCGGGTGGGCTCGTTTACCAGTTGGGTTAAATCGTGTGTGAGAGCGAATGTGTGGGCAGTTCTTCCAGCATGGTCAGTTTTAGAGGAACTTAACCACGACTCATGGTGAGCATTGAAGTCCCCTAAAAACACCAATTCCGCTGTAGGAAACTGCGCCTGCGCGTCATCTGCCGCCCGAGTAAGGTGGTCTATGAGACGAGTTGTCTCCATGTCGCCGTGGTGGGATCTGTAGAGGCATATGTAGACACGGCAATGACTGCCCAGGTCAACATGTACCCCAAGGATGGAGAAGGAGGGGTCCTCCAAATGACGCAGACGGCGACAGCAAACATCTGCCCGGACAAACAAGCAGACCCCAGCTTTCGCTTTGAAGGACTCTTCAAGCATATAGCCAGGGTAATTCAAGTAGCTGCTGTCAGCCGGGCAGAGTATTTGCGTCGTCGTAAGGAACAGCATTTCTGGTCGAGCCGTCTCAAGATGTTGGTGGACGGCGTGGATGTTACTGTGGAGTCCTCGAATGTTCGTGAACTTCACCTTAAAGAGCGCTTTAGTGGTGGGGGTGTGCACCGCTGTACGACCGAAATTTGTACTTTGCGCTAACATGTTGGAGGGAAAAAGAGGCGTGAAGCGAGAAAACAGTGCCGCGACACAAGCGGTCAAATCGCGGGGCCTGCTTCCCCAGAGACTTGCCTACAGACAAGTTGCGCTGATCCGCCGGACGGAAGGGCCCCCGAACCCCCCCGGGAATGGCCGCTGGGACCCCACCTTCCGGTCACCAACCGGCACGACGAACCACACCGAGATTATGCGCGGTATGGTGAGGCAGCCTCACGAGCTGGCTAAGCACGCTTGGGCCCCTGTACTGTACCGCGGGCAGCCAGCGGAACAACCGTTTCTACGGGTCTCCCTGGCCGGCGGGTCAATGCAGTTGTCCTGGCACTAGTTCGGCGGAAGCCTCCACAGACCACAAATGTC